CATAACTTTTCTTAAGCAGTTTTTTTTTTTTTTTTTGGACTGTTTTTTTTTTCGCCCGCTTGCACCGATTTTGTGGTCCCCAGAGGATGTCATCCATAAAAATAAAAAAGTGTGGCCTTATGGTATTGAACTTTAAAGAAAGTCTGCAAGTGTGCTTTCCTTGCCTTATGTTGGCAAAGATACAATGATTTAACCGCAATACACCTCTGTGTGAATTCTTTAGAACATCAGCGAGAGGTATAAAATAAATGATTATTAACTTTCAGACTAAAACTCGATGTTTGATCAGAGTTATGAAGATAAGAAGCACACCAAAATGTAAATTAGATGGAGCATATATATTTTAAAATACTGGTTTGCATATATCTAAATTTTACACCTCTTTAGACATTTTTTGGACAAGAAGAGTTAACAAGTTAAAAGAAATATATGAAGTATAACGTAGGAATTGATACCACTACCTCTGCCTTTCGTGAAAGTATGTAAAAAAATAAGAGATACAAATCCAAATATGCGCATTGGGAATTATCTATTAAAATATATTATAGCACATTATTTTATGCAGCGATAAAATTGTGCAAATGAACCTAAAGCCATGTTCTATAGTAATAGTATCATTGTATGACAGTGGGCTGGGTCTTTGCCTCAGTCCAACTGAGTTGCAGATTTTAGCCCGTTTTTTTTTTTGTTTTTTTTAGATGGTTTCATTCACATTTATTGGCCGAATAAATTTACCTAGCTGGCAATACATCAGATTTATAGTGTTAAAATGTAACAAGGTAGTCCTTTAGCTTCTCTCTTGCTACAACAGCAGGGAATATGCCAATGTACTCAAATATCAGTGCTTCGATGGCATAAACATGAATGTTCCGAGAACGTATAACAGCGATGTTTATTTGTATTATCATGTACTAAAACTCCATTCCCATAGAGACCTAAATCTCTGGGAAAAGAGTCGGTCTATGTGGATTGCTCCTCCCCTGCAGGGACAGCTATATCTGAGTGCAATCACCTTAACACAATGACACGCCCCCTCTTGTTTCCAATGTACTCTAAAAATCATCATCCTTTACTTAATCTTAATGTCAGAAGGAAGTGGTTTAATATATAAAGCTCATTGCACTCAGAAAGAGTCCCGTCAGAGTTGGATCGAAGACCAATGCTGAGAGGGCGCAATAGTTTACCTGGCAAACAGTGTAAAGAAACACACGGGCGCATATTGGTGTTGCAATGCATATAAGTTAAATGCCCAATGCCACTATACATTTAATGGTTATCGATAAGGCCACACTTTTTAATTTTTATGGATGACATCCTGCGCGCGCACCGATTTTCGTCCGTTCTACAAAAAAAAAAAAAAAAAAAAAAAAAAAAAAAAATCCCCCCCCCCCCATTAATTTCAAAATACACGACAATTAAAGTCATAAAGAGAACGGGAGCCGTCGTTTTGGATTGGTTTGCCATTGATATTGGACATGGAGATATCAACTTTTTACAATTATACGAAAGGCTGGCAGCGGCCGGCGATCATCGCCCGGAAAATTTCAGTGACATTCTGTCCAAAGCAGCACAGCACAAAAGGGTCGACAAGAGCGTCGTGGTATTTGGTGGATTGAAGGTCGGACAGGCCACCCGATAGTTGGCTGCTACGTGTGAGTCGAAGTAGACAAAATGGCATCGTGCGAAATTACCTTTTTTAGATTTGGTAGTAGGAAGCATAGGCCTATCTTTGCTTCATTTTTTTTTTTTTTTTTTTACAATTCTGTGAAGTGTTCACAATGCTTTAATTTTCTGAGAGTACAAATAAAGACACGCTGTTTATTTGATATTTGTTTTATTGATTGCTATACCAACAGAATGCATGAAAAAACCTTAAATAGATTTGGTAATATGCAGCATATATATTCATGACTTTTTACCTTTCTACGAAGTAAGCCCTATTCACAATGCTTTAATATTTTGAGAGCATGGATAAAAACATGTTGTTAGTTTGATACATGTTTCTGCGGTAAATTAGAGTTTCCAGCTGTGTACTGATGGCATAACTTTTCTTAAGCAGTTTTTTTTTTTTGGGGACTTTTTTTTTTTCGCCCGCTCGCACCGACTTTGGGGTCCCCAGAGGATGTCATCCATAAAAATAAAAAAGTGTGGCCTAACCCGTAAAATTCTGAATTACAGTAAGTTGACCCTGAGCAACGTGCGCCAGCTGTGCAATGTGCGCTATGACCTACTTACAAGGCGCAGACTTGAGCTTAATCTATAGATAACACGACCTTAACACGTCCTTGACACAGCGTTGGAATACATAACGTAAAGGGGGAGATATTCCATGCATAGCCCAAGAACTTTGAGCTGTTGCTGAGTGTCAGAACACATTCACATCAAGGAGGGCATAATGGCGGAGAACGTGCCGTCCCTTACTCTAAATAATGGCGTAAAAATGCCCATCATTGGACTTGGAACTTTCCAAGGAACTTACGATTACAAGGTAGATTGGACTTTGTACATGTGCATCCGATATTTGAGTATGGGGGTGGGGGTGGAGGTGGGGGGTCACGTGGGAGTGGGGGGGTACGCTTTTGTAAGATCTGTGTGTGTTACGTGCATGGATAGTATATAGAAACAGTATAGATCAATTAAGAAATTTAGTGAGTGCTTACGTGTGTGTGTGTGTACGTGCGTACATGTGCTAGAATGGGGTCATTGTGTGTGTGTGTGTGTGTGTGTGTGTGTGTGAGAGAGAGAGAGAGAGAGATCCATAGACTCCTGTAGGATTCCCATATAGTGCTTAAGAGACGGCCTTTAGGATGTTCTACTGAAAATTTCATAAGGGTTGGGGTTGGGGTTGCTTTAATAGCATTAAACATAATCTGAAACACTTGTTGCACAACAGGAGATTTGAATACCCAATATAGGTGAGGGGGTTCATTCTGTGTACAGTATACATCTTATTCTTTCACCCTAGAGCCCTTTCGATACTGTAGTCGAAGTAACCAAGGCTGCAATAGACGATGGCTATAGGCACATAGACACAGCCTTTATCTATGATACAGAAAAACCTGTCGGGCATGCCATCAATGAGAAGATTAAAGAGGGCGCTGTGACACGAGATGAAGTATTTATCACCTCCAAGGTAAGCGGAATTCGAAGCTCAAGTATTCTTTAGATTCACGGCCGTATTTTGTTATTATATTAACCAGCAATACCCAGGTACATGTAGTAGGCATTCCGTCTGGTCTGGCCTTATTGCCAGGGGCACTGTGAAGCTAGATTGTAAACTATTCAAACCTTTTTACGGGATAGCTATTGCCGATATGGGTTAAATATTAAATCAAAATCGAGCTGGGAATACGGAAATCTAGAACCTAGGGTATTCTGGTCCTGTAACCGTCTCTCTGTACCCTTATAAAAAATATTAACTACCCCTGTATTTACGAATATGTTATAATATGTATTCCTCTATCCATTATTCCTCTATCCATTATACAACCTACAATAACCCAACTTACACCCACCCATCTAACCACCATTCCCCATTCACAACACCCACACTACACCCACACTGCACCCACATTACACCCACACTACACCCACCCATCTAACCTCCACCCCCATTCACAACACCCACACTACACCCACACTGCACCCACACTACACCCACCCATCTAACCACCGTCTTCCATTCACAACACCCACATTACACCCTATCTGTTCATATTATGTTTAACAATCAGCTGTGGAACAACGCTCACGCCCGCGAAGATGTCCAGGTTGCAGTGAAGAAGAGTCTCCAGGCGCTGGGGATGGAATATATTGATCTCTTCCTCGTTCACTGGCCGGTGGCTTATAAGGTATGGGCACATTATATTTACAGGGAGACGGACAGACACACAGACAGGTAGACAAACTGGATAACAAACAAACTGACAGACAGACTAACAGACAGAGAGACAGATAGCATAAGAACAGATGGTCAGAAAGACCGCCATAGAGAAAGAAAGAAAAAAAAAGAAAGGACAAATCGGCAGAAACCTAGACAAGCACAGGAAAGAACAAGCAGTCAGACAAGCAATTATGTACACAAAAATATAGTAAGAAAATAGGATAAACAACAGACCGTATGGACAAACCTTGTTGCCACAAGCCTACTTCCACTCTTCCTATTTCGTAATTAATTTCGTAATTCAAAGTTTTACAAGAACTTTAAATACATCGTTTTAACTTACGTTCAGAGCGGCGAGGAATGTCACCCCAAGGACGCAGATGGGAAAATAGCCGTTGCGGACGATGACGAACATGATTACCTTGAGACATGGAAGGTTAGTATCCCCTCCCCCCATATCTCCCGACTAAAATGTATTGATATTTGCTCTCTCTCTCTCTCTCTCTCTCTCTCTCTCTCTCTCTCTCTCTCACACACACACACACACACACACACATTTGGAATTCACAGAGAATGAGACTGCCTATAGAGAAGAAATTTGATATATTTATTTTTGTATTTTTTACTCTAGGGTATGGAAGACATACTGGAAGCAGGGTTAGTTAAAGCTATCGGCGTCTCCAATTATAACATAGATCAAATGCGCCGACAGGTGGAGAATTGCAGGATAAAGCCAGCTGCCTTAGAGGTGGGCATGTTTGTGACGATTTTAGAGTACGCATCTGTGTGCGCGTGGAAATACCGTTAAGTGAGTGTCTGCATGTGCGTTATTCTCTCCCACTATCCAATCAGACTATGTGTGCACGCGCGCGTTTGTGTCGCGACGATCTTGAGTGCGTGTCCGTGTCCGCGTGCGCGTGGAAATACCGTTATTTGCAGTATTCTCTCTGTCAGAATCCACTTTCTCTCTCCCTCTCTATCTCTCTCTCTTTCTCTCTCTCTCTCTCTCTCTCTCTCTCTCTCTCTCTCAAAGTATCAGTGTGTGTATGCCCGCGTGTGTGCGTGCGGAAATAAAATTCCAAAGTTGATAGTTTTGTCTAAAACATATTTTTGGTGTTTGGTATCATTTTGGCGTTCGGTTTTTTCTTAGATCGAAACACACCCATTCATGGCCAATGAGGAACTGGTGGATTTCTGTCAGACGCACGGGATAGCCGTGATCGGGTATAGTCCCCTGGGGAAGCCCGGACGCTCTTGGTAGGTGACACGAGTGGACGTTGTCCAAATAAAAGACTCTGGGTAATAGAGTTTTTTTTTTTTTACAGAGTGGACAACTCAATTTAATAGCTTTTATTCGCATTTCAATATGAATTGGAATACGCCCCAAATCGCCCAGCAAAGCTGTGTTAGATTTAGTAGAATTAACATTCAGAATCGGCTCGTTGCATTGCATGTTCACATTATTAATCGGTGACTTCTCATTTAATTTTTGTCCCGGAACTTCATAACTGTACATAATATCACAGGCGCCAAGTCTCTCCGTTGTTAAGGCCATTCTCCCATTATTTACAGGTGTTATTCTATTGTTATTTTAAAAGACTTTAGGCAATAGATCTTTGTATTTTGAGCTCTGCCATATCTGGATTTAAAGTTCGCCCGGAAAGTGTATTCTAGTAATTATACGTGAAATGTAGACCGACATGCATTGTTGCAGACACAATATGTCAAGGCAAGGGGCAAGGCGTTTGTGTTATTTCATCAATTCTTTAAATGGCACAGATCGTCTGCTAAATCGTCTGCTAATATTGTATATTGCTTTCACACGACTCGACCACTACCCGTAACAATATTTACCTCATATACGCTGCATATATCACAAAATAAGTATTTTACATTGCGCATTAATATTTGTAAGACTAATACGCTTACTTATTTATGTTTTGACTCATACGTTTAATTTTTATGTTATTCAAATAAGAACTTATTTACTCATTTTTAGGAAAACGGAAGGAGACCCGGATATTTTCACCAACGAAACCATAGCAACTATTGGGAAGAAATACAACAAGTCTCCTGCACAGGTAAACAAACCCGTGCCTGGAACTTGCTATTTTGCATGCATTGTACACCTTTAAAATTAATGAATTCGAATTTGTTTTTAACAAATATATGTACAAAACAAAAACCTACGGTAACGTACACTGTATATTCCTTTTTGGGTTTAGAAGAAGAATCATTTTTTTATTATTATTCATGGTTACAGGACGGTGAAACTGTGATACAAACTTCATCATGAACAGTGTAGGACCCTATAATAATCAAACATAACTTTGTTCTCTGTGCATCAAATATTGCATGCATTTGACCCCATTTGGGCCTCTATATTGGGTATGGGTGTTTAATTGTAATTCACATGTCTGCCTATAGGTGGCGCTTCGGTACCAAGTCCAGCGACAAGTTTGTCCTGTGCCCAAAACTAAGACATTGTCAAGGCTGAAAGAAAATATAGATGTACGTATTGTATAGAGGTTCGCTTTCTTTTACCTTTTTGTCCTTTTCTTTATTTGATTGAGAAGTCCTTGTAGATGAAGTCCTTGTAGGTTAAGGCTTGCTTGGTGTTTTTGTGAAAATTCATTTTATATTTTCAGTTTGGCTCAAGTAATGTGAAAGCTAAAAACTCGATTAATAAAAATTGGGTCAACATAGGCTCAAGATTAACTCAATTACCATATCTGTCTGTTAATCAGGTTACATTCAGCGAGCCCCCTCATTTTTGACGTCTCCTTGCTTTAAATACTTTAACACCAATATTGCAAAGTCAACTTAAAAAGGTTTTGTGTGGTTGAAGGCGTGTAATTTCTTACACAAACAACCAATTAATTAACTTATTATTATTTTTTATTTATTGTCGCAGATATTTGACTTCGAACTCTCTGGAGATGACATGAAAAAGCTTGAGAAACTTAACCAGAACTTCAGGGTATTGTGGCTGGAGAGGTCAGTTAACGGCTGATAAGTTTAATTCAATACTGGAAAAACTTAATCATAACTTCAGGGTATTGTGGCTGGAGAGATCACTTAACGGTTTAGTTAAACACAATAAACTTATTACTTGACTGAAACATTATTATCTTTTAAAGCTAATTCGGTTTGTTCTTAAAAAATAATACTTTTGGGCAATATCTGTTGGTACCAATAGTATTACAGGGTAATGTAACGTATTTCGATCTATTGGCTAATTCAATTTTACGTCATTAATTGGATTTTGCTGTTTAATACCGCTGATTCATGACTTGGTTATAACAAATAAATTAATAAATTCATCAGTCACTTAGTTTGTACAGTTTTTGATACCATTTTCCTAAAAGGAAAGCCTAGAGTGTTAATTGAGAATATAAATTTTAATTGAAGAAACTTGACCAATTTTATCCTTTTACAACTAAATGTCTATCTTAACAACAGGATGTGTGTAATTGATACTGTTCTTTATTTTTCAGTCTAAAACACAGCAAAAATTATCCATTCCATTCGTAAATACAGGACTAAGAGGTGTATCATGCTGAATTAAGTCTCGCGAACGGTGGATCATCCCTCATATTCGTCAGACAAACGTCCAATATACCGGTGATATCTTGCAGTTTACTTTTTGTCTTTTTGTCTTTTGTCTATTTTTTTGTCTTGAAAAAGGCGCCAAACTCGAGATGGGTTTTATTCTTCACATTTAATTGTGGTAATACATCCACACAGAGCAGCAACGGACTCAAACCTCAATCAAATTTGCCTTAAAACCATATGCGTACAGAGGATGAACGAAATGGGGGGGGGGGGAGAATAAATACACATGGTGCGCAACCAAAATGGGCTTGTTTTCCCATTCTCCATGCGTGTTGGGGGATTATGATATACTTCTGACAGGTATAACGGGACTACATGAACATTTGAGAAGAATACTATGCAGCACAGTGAAATTGCAGACACCCGCTGTACCACCATAGCCCCGGTTTCAAAAAAAAAAAAAACATAATTCAGGGGTTCTTTGGCTACTTACCAACGTTACATGGTCACATGTGCATATTTTACCATATAAGGAGTAGTGTAGCAGAACTCTTATGGAAATCCTAGTCAATTAAGCCAGGGAACTGACTTTGATTTTTTTTTTTATTAGGATTCCCCATAGGGGAATACTATCGTTTTTGGTAGTATTATAGTTATTCCGCGCGTTTTTTTTCGCAACAAAAATCTGAAATAATTATCATAGGTAGCCTATGGCAAGAATATGCCACAGACCCAGTTTCAGTGACCTTGACCTACTTTTCAAGGTCACAGGGGCTTTTAAAGGCAAAATGTGTAAAATTTGAAATTGACATTAAGCCTAAAGTATAAGCCGTATGCCTAACGGCCTCATGGCCAATGATACTGAGGCAAATCCACAGATAATGACTTACTTTTATGCAAGTAGGTCAAGGTCAAGGTCGCTCATGGCCAAACGGGCTCAAAAAAGGTTTGTTTCCAAGATCTCAGAAACCAGAAGGCCCAGAGCCCCAATCATAGTGGCAAATGATGCCCTATATATTTATCTAAGGTTAGCCGTACTTTGGTAGCGACTGCTTAATTACTTTTTTTAATATAGATTTTAAAATATTTATGACATTGCAGAAATCTTGAGATTGGCAGTTTCTCCANTCTTGAGTTTGGCAATTTCTCCATGAAACACTGGTTTTTGGTCATAGCATGCTATAGTAAACTACCCCAAACAAATACCCAAAACCCCCAAATCAAATGTCAAATTTGACCTTGACCCTCATTTTCAAGGTCATTTGGCTATTTCATGGAGATTTATTGAAGTGGGCTAAAAGTGATGTTTTGTTGACCCTCCCCCCCATCAATACGCACATGCTCTTTCAGAATATGGGATCAAATTTAACCCATGACCTTCACATGACCTTGTAAGAGCATTTCCACGCCTATTTTGCAGGGGAATCCTCCGCCACTGGCTTTAGCCAGTTGCAGTCTAGTTTTATTTATTTATTTATTTTTTTTATTTTCTGTGTGAAACTTGGGACTGTTTTTGGTGCTTTGATTAAAAATAAAGGTTTTCTGGTCATCAGTTCAAGTTTTTTAAAGTGATCACTGGGCAACATACACACACTGGACAATACAAGTGTAACCCTTTCTGAACCAATACTTTGGGGGAGATAAATGACTGTGGACTGATATGCACCAAGTATCATTTTATTAACATCAAATTTCACAAAAAGATCAACAGTACAATTCCATGGTACAGTGGTTTTTTACTCATTAGTCACATTATAAGTAGAGCAGGCATTATAACATAGATTACTCTGATTCAAGGGGTTTAACTTCTACTGTCCCGTGTGTGTAGCATGTGTTCTTTTGCAAAACAAGGGTCAAAATAGAAAGCTAAACTGTAGAATACACTTCTCACGAGATAATTATGTATATTTCACTAGCGAATAAAAAAAAAAAAACAAGATTGTACCAAGAAGGGGGTAGGGGGCAATATTAGAAGCTTGATGTGGTGAGATTCATACTGTCATTCGAAATAGAATTATTTGTTGCAATAAATATCGAATATATGTAAATAATGCCGTCTTTTATAAGCCCATACATGAAGCGAAAATATCACACGTTTAGTAATATTACCTGTTATCAATATATGTGCCTTTTATACAGACTTGACACTGTCACCCGAGCGATATATGCCATAACACCACGAGCGTTAGCGAGAGGTGTTTGTGGCATATATCGCGAGAGGGTGACAGGGTATTATTTGACATACACACCGAGAAAAAATACAGTCATTTCATCCTAAAACACCCCTAAAACCGAATAAAGTGACCCAATATCACGCTCTAGAGATGTTATACGGAATAAACTCGTCCACGTGCGCTGGTCACCTCCCGCCAAATTCTTACGTAATGTCTGACCAATTTGGTCAATTTTTGCTAAATACTTGTCGTGGACCTTCAACTGGCTTGAGAAGTATTTAATCAACCGTCGACACTGACCATGCACGCCTCAGCTGAGCCACACCTAGCTGAGACTGCTGCGGAAAAAAGGTCCCAAGGCAAAACCTCTCCTTTTTAGTGACATTTCTGATAAATAAGGAGCGTCGGACCGGAATATAGTCTAACTAATTTTCACAGGTGCAAAGGAGAAAGAAATTTACTTTTTGGTGATATTTCTGACAACGAGGCAGTTTCAGAATATATTCAAAATCGACGGATGTTTATTGCAAGTTCACGGGAGTAATAATTCTAGTTTTTTATTGTTATTTCTGACGACGAGGCGGTTACGGAATATAGTCAAAATCAAACGGATGTTTATTTCAAGTCCACAGGATTAATAATTCTACGTTTTGGTGACATTTTTTTTACTACGAGACGGGTTCGGAATATACATGTGCTGGTTTTCAGAGGATTCATGTGCTACATGTTATTACAAGTCCAAAGGGGGAATACATTTGATTTTTACCGATATGATAAAGAGGAAGAATGAACAGCTTAAAAACAAAAGGTAAATAACACAACCCTCGTTAAAAAGTTATAGATTTACAAATAATTTGTATGCACGTGTGGCTTAATTATAAACTAATTCCCGTTTTCAAACCATACCCACATGATATTACTTAGTGTAATAAAGTGATAAATAATAATTGTTAAACGTGAAAAGTTGTTAAACGTGAAAAGTATGCTAATTTTTTTAAGAGCGTGAGAGATTTTAAATTTGTCTACTGGTAGGTATATAACGCAAGCAACGTCACTATTATCTTGATGCCAAGAAGGTCACATAATCACTGTCTTTGGCTTTCAGCATTTAAGTGACCTCGACTGATTTAACCAAGATGTAGTCTTGAAATTCTAGACTACATCGAGGTTAAATCCGAGTTTTCCGAGAGACGCTACGCAGAAATGTCGTTGAAGCGAGACATTTTTGGGTAGCGGCTCGAGGTTGCCCTAGATCTTCACTGAAGCTTACCTACATTGTAAATGGACAGGCTTCAGTGATCATCATATCCCCACGGTCATATAACATCCCTAGGTATGTATATCGAATATATGTATGCAATGTTGTCTTTAATAAGCCAATGCATGAAGCGCAAATATCACACGTGGCAAGAAAAAGACAAACATAGTTACAAATACGCACATTAGGCTCGATCAGAAGGATTACATTATCTGTGAATCCGTAGACCTACATGAATTTCTAGGTACAAAACAAAGTATTGGGCTGGAAGAGAGTAACGATTGCCCCTATCGAAAACAACAGGCCTACCCAACTACCAGACGCGGCACCTACGGATCCTGAATAAACCGGTATATCAGACGACACTACCCGTTTTCAAGGTGTGTCAGATCGCATTACGGAGTATCAGCCACTTCACCCATTTTGCATGGCGCGCGATGTGATAGCGATGATCCTAAGCGATACCCGGATGACAGGTAGGCCTACAAAATTTGTGATGGGGTATGATACTCCGTAATGCGATCTGACACACACCTCGAAAACGGGTAGTGTGGTCTGATATACCGGTTTATTCAGGATCCGTAGGTGCCGCGTCTGGTAGTTGGGTAGGCCTGAACAAGCAGTCATCTTATGCAGTAATCCATAAAATGCTGCGTATTGACAGAACACACTATCCAATATACCATCATCCCTTAAGTGCATTTAATTTAATTGGATGCATATGAGTTATGTGTGGCGTTCATTAAGCTTAAACAAAAGACCTCTAGTTTGTGTACTGGGGTATGTATAGGTAAATTTGTGATGATAAATATGAAGCACTCATATAGAAATGCATGTTGCATTGTCTGATAAATGAGACACTACGGCATATGTAGCCCTAAGTGCACAGTAAAAATGAATGTATTCATGTTGATAATGTGAATGTATAATGTTTACTTTACATATGAATTTCTGTTAAACTTAAGTTATGAAGAGAATTAAGTCAAATTTCAGGGAGTAACTGTACAGATTAGAGAACAACAGCTTTCAAATACAGAGAAAATAGATTAAGGGCCTAAAACAAATAAAAACTGACCTCCCCACTGACCCACCAAAAGAGGACCACTGATTATGATTTAAATAATTAAATGGACTGAAACACAAACAGCAAGACTCCAATAACATGCAGACTGAAAATACATGTAGGTCTCAGTGACATAATAAAATAAGATGCGCATCTTTCTTGAATATAGTGAGCATAAAGGCGAGTGAATACTTATTTTAATTGGAAGTAACTTTTCAAGGTGCAACAAGCAATTGTGATGACAACATTCCATCCTTTTCAATATCCTTCTGTTCAGGGTGTGATTTCTATAGATTTTCTTGTCAATAATGTAATGCAGCAGCCATATATATCTGTATCTATGAACACGCCCGCTTTTCCTTGATCGAGTTTTATTTATGTATAGTTTTATTATTATTATTATTATTATTATTATTATTATTATTATTATTATTGCGTTTCACAATCTGCTGCAAATGGAAAGTGCAATATTGCATAATGCTACATCCAGGTAAAATATTCAATTTTTCAGCAGGGGGAGTAATGCAAAAGTCGTTTTTACATATTCTGTCCAATGTCTATTTAATTTGTGGAGTTCTGTCAAAAACATGACTCTGGCCTTACAAAATATCAGAATTGCATTTCTGTGGTGATTTTTAAAAACAGGTATAATGCTATAGTATAGTGTGATCTGCAAAAATCCAATGCCTCATAATTTTTATTAAAATATAGAAAAATAACCTATGATAAACGGTGGCAAATGTGAACGATTTTTGTCTGTGGTGTTACAATCTCTTACCCCCCCTCCCCCCACCACCCCCACCCCCCGCTGTCATTGTCAACAGGGTGCCAGGTTGCTTTTTCGGACTCGGTGTCACAGTCAGTTTAGTGCTTTGTTTAGTACTTTTTTAAAGCTTTGGGTAGACCTACTGACCAATTTGGCTGAATTCAAGGTAAATGATACATATTTCATGCTATAATGGCATTTTTAAGATTTAAGGGATACCATACAGATTTTAATTTTTTTTTTTTTTTTTTTTTTTGCAGAAAGCGTTATCTTTATATTTTAACATTAAAATATATTCCCATCATATCTAAAAAATCCAAAATAAAATTGAAAATTAACTCATCACGTGTCAAATTTATGTTTAGAAGTTATTTTCTTTATGGCTTATTATATGATTCTCAACATTTGGCTGCCACGCCTGCCGAATCAGCTATCGGGTAAAGATAATTACCCCCTAACAGTTTTACTGGGCGTGACGGACGTTTAAACCGGTTTGGTTGATAGCAAAGTACTGAGACTCCCCAGTGAGATAGATCGATACAAATATCCGTGGGAATGGTCCCTAGCTTATATGTCGTACCCGTGTGCGCTATGTTATCACCAAAAGGTCATAGGACGGCAAGTATTACAATAAAATTCTGGTTGCCATCTGGATATTTATTCAATTCATTTCCATTTCTGTATAATTATTAAGAAGTGATGATAATAGTGTATCCCTGCGTGGATGAGCATAGTTTAATACTTAAATTATTCTTATAATTTTGTACTAGTTAGAGAGCCTGTAAATGTAAACCATTTCTTTGAGCTGAAAAAATTATTATTATTATTATTATTATTATTATTATTATTATTATTATTATTATTATTGGAAAATTATTAAAAACCCTCAAATACGATCTTGAAAATCAATTATAAATAAGATTCTCTATGTGGCTGTCAAGCACCAAAAAACAAAGACTCATTGTTGACGTTGTAAAAGAAATCCTCGGCTGCTTTTATGAACTCTTGTTGGTCGATGCAACCATTTTGGTTTTCATCGATGTAACTAAAAGACTGGTTGATGCCCTTTCGTACGTTATATACTTGACAGAACGCTTTGTGTTCTTTGACGCTCATCCCTTCATCTCCATCGGCATCTGCTGCTTTAAATACCCCCTTATCCCATAAAACGCTTGATGGTTCTTCGAGTTCCCTGCCTTCTAATCCACGCAGGTGTATCCAAATGGCGTTCTCTATGTCTACGTTTTTTCTGCATCTGTCTTCTGGAACGGACCAGAAGGTAAACCAGCCTTTGGATAGAGTCTCATTGAAAACATTTATCTTGTCGACCCCAAAATAAATTCTAGCTCTTTCAACAGTCCTGTCAACATAGTCACGGCGGTCCAAAATTCCGTCATTGTCCACATCCAATAAGGTGAAATAGTGAAGAAGTTTTGTATACCATGCATGCCCTACAGCCACATGCTCCTGAAGTTTAAAGAGTGTACCATAAAATAGTGTGTCTATATAATTTCTAGTTTATATCAGGCATAATAAAATAAAATGCTTATCTGTTGGTACGTCAGCAGTCAGATTTACACGCGCTTATCATAAGTTATTTTTCAATATTATATTTAAAATTATAAAGTATTGAATTAAATGTTTGCATTAAATTTTAGCTCTTGAAGGTTGCTCTCAACCCCTGTAGAAGTTGTTATTTTAACCCCATAGTTAGTGGATACTGGAACTAGAATGACTCGTTCAATATTTATGCTGCAAGGATGGCCGTCAAATCGGCCCCATTGTTTTAAAACTACAATTTCAAATGGATAGGATGAACCGGTTTTGGCATGCTGATGTGCAGACGGGTACAGATACTTTGGCATATAAATAGGGAATATAAAGGGGTTATGGAGATCTCTAAAATGTGTGTATAGGCAAAATCAGTGAAAATCAACTCTACTGAGACAGGTCAATTCATGAAATCAAGAGTTAATTTCTTAAGACCCGATTGAAGTGAGGAAAATATCTAAGAGTTCATATTGTGCAACTGCTTTAAAGACATTTTGCAAAATTCACAAATAATAAATCATTGTGTGCAGAAATTTAAACTGTTCAAAGCAGCACAGGAACAATAACAATATACGTAAGCATATCCTCCAAGATTTACTCCAAGTATGTCTTCATTGGCAATGTACGTAGTAACGTCCAGATATACATGTATACATGTTGATGTGTAATTCAAAACAATACACTGACTAAAGCGTGAGCTTTAAATACAACGACGAGAGCGTCTTACCTTTGGACAACTCTTAGTTACAGACGAGTATGTTCTTGTTACATCATAAACAATCACCGACAACAGCAACCAAACCAGACGTTGAAGTAGAAACATCATTCGTGTACGTCAACTGTCAATATTTCTGCGTTCTGTGACGTGCAATTGTGGTATGTCTCAATATAGTGAATCGTTTAATTATGAAGTTGTTTTCGATATTTCTAGAAGTATACCGACTCCAATCGTATTTGAACACGTATCTGAAAGTACTGGGCTCCCTTCTTTTCAGCTCAAGGCGACGACGTTTTTGTCTATCCACACTTTTGTCTGGCAACTCGAATAACAAGTATTTTGTACCACATTCACGAAAAACATTCGTTCTCTTTTTTTCCGAGTCATTTTCACTGTCATACTGTTTTAGAAATTATGAGAAAAGATGCTTGCCAACACAATATTTAACAACCTATCTACGGGTATGACATACAGGTAATGTTGGTGCTGATGTCTATGTGTTGTTTAAATAAAATGAATAAAAGACACAGTTGTTGTTGATTTCCAAAACATTGCGTTTAGAAAGAGACCCATTCAGTCAAAAATGTATCCGTTCAACATAAACATATAATATTACAATATTATAATATGGCCTTGTGATCAGAGTGCCCACTTTCAGAGTCGGTGGACGTGGGCTTGGCTCCGTTTGGAGCAGCCAGTCCTTCATAAATGGTACCATCTGCCCCCCCCCCCCACCACTCCCCCTCCACCCCTTTTGACAGCAGCACGCATGGATTGAAGTAGGGGGAATGTTACCTCTGTGTCAGTAAAAGGTATTAATCGTTTGGTAGGTGTCAGCACATTATGCGGCAGCTGTGCTGTATCCTCATCAGGAAGGTGAAAATACCGACACACAGCCTGTATCAGGGCCGGGCGTCTATTTTTACTGCACTGAGACTCATGTGGAATACGCAGTATATAAAATAATAAACTTCACTTCTTATGTTTTAATCATTTACAATTAATATCTTAATCTCCTTCTTGTTTTAATTCTGATGTTATAAACGTGTCGGAACATAAAGTCAAGGTATCAATATGAACATCTAAGTTGCAACAGAAGGTTTTGATACATATTTTGACAATTCCTCATACATATAGTCATTAACAATACCTTTTTTATGTAAATTGGAAAGTTATAAATATCATGTACGTGTCTAGGCCATTCGTCACCAGTGAAGGGGGGTAGTTCTATTAGGATTTGAGTAAGGATTATTCATTTATAATATCTTCAAGTAGGGTCCGCCATATTTGGTTAGATTTCGTAAGGCTATAACATGCAGTCTATTACCGTTTCATTGCGTTATCACAGGGAATCACAAGGTTGCAGGCTTTTTACTGTGCACGAAGAATGCCCACAAAAATTCGTACCACGTTTCAGCAATGTATGTTAAATTGCGATTGTATTTTATCAAAATATTCAGTTATTCTAGCTGAGTAAATGGGTCGATTGGTGAATAAAGCCGTCTGTTATATTATTCAGTAGAGAATTAAGTTTACCTCAGGCGTAAAATGTTTTGGAAAGCAAAATTACCTTTATCTATTCAGCATTCTGTGCATTCGCACAACCAAAGGTCAGCATCAACATGGTTTATGGGTTGTTAAATATTGTGTTGAATGGAATCATTTATCATAGCTCATTGTCATAATTCTATGGTAAGCCGGTGTGCACGTGCTAGCTAGACCGTTCATTGTGCTTTAAAGCCAATGGAATTATTTCTCATTCTACATCAGTATGGCAATGAAAACACCATGGAAAATATTAAACCAAATGATTCAGGAATTTAATACAGCAGGTAGGTATATTAGTTTTTAGATAGTATGTTGTGTGTGAATATGAAAAAAAAAAAAGTCGTCACCCGTAAGGAAGAAAGCCCAATAATATTGAGGGCACGAATAACTTTTCTTGTATCTGAACTTGGACCGCCCCCATTTACTACGTGTTCAAAGTCGATTTGGTAAGATACACCTCAGACTAAGCCGAAAACAACCTATTTAAGTAAAATGCTGTGTTGATACGTAACACTTTCGCACAGAACGCAGATCCATTAACAATTAACATTCTACGCATACAATTAATATGTTTCTTTCAGGTTTGCTCTGGTTCTTGCTGTTGGTGGCTGTGAATGATGTAATAGGAACGACATGTGGTGGACACCAGAATGGTCAGAGGGTAAGGAATTCTTTTAATAAATGTATCATTTTGAAATGATGTTGGCATGAGCTTACATATCCATTCTATTCTCTTCCGCATAGCACATTAATGCATAAATGAAAACAACTACAAAAACAAAACATATAGGTTGGTTAATATAAATTAGGACAATATAGGCATGATTTTTGTCATACCAAACCGAACGTAGAATAATTACGAAATTAACCATATGTAAATATGCAGTTGGCTGCTAAGAGTCCTGAATATGACTTGACCAAATATTTTGATAATAAGCAACGAATAAAAGAGTTTTGATTGGTTGCAGAAACGCACATATCTCCGTGTATCCTGGCGAATAACCTCATCTTGGTGTCTTTGTCCATATTTGTGTCATTAAATTCTACACATCAATTTAACTCCAGTTTCTAGTGGTCACGTTAAAATGATGGGTACCAAAAAATGTTAGGGGCAACAGATGGTGGAATCAGTGTCTTTTTACGCAACAGTATGTTGTTAATTCACGCCGAGGGGAGATAGTGTGTGTATCTTCCACAAATAGTTTTATATGAATAATCTTTAATAACATTTAGACAAACGTTTTTATTACACATTTTATAAACTACAGGAAGATCTGGAGGAGGGTGATAAACGACGTGATAAATGGGTCCGCTTTTTTAACTTATTGGACGCTGACAATGACGGCGTTGTGGACAGACATGAATATATCAACGGGTCTGTTGAAAGAGCCATGGGATATTTTGCGCCGGAAAAGATCAACGCTTTCAACGAGACTGTCTCCAGAGCGTGGTCTTCATTTTGGTCCACCCCAGAAGACGACTTTCAACAATGCTTTGACGTGTTGGATTTCATCTCAGCTCACGCGACAGTATTTGACACCACCATGTTTCTGCCGTCGGTCAAATATTGGGCAAAGGGTTTATTTCGAGCAGCAGATGAAGACGATGATGAAGAATTGAACGTTTTCGAGCACAAAGCCTTCCTTCAAGCATCCAATGTTCACAAGGGCTTCTGTAAGTCATTTAGTTTTGTCGACGAAAATCAAAGTAGAAGCATCGACAAAAAAGAGTTTGTTACAGCCGCTGTTGATTATTTTTGCAACCGTTATGATGGTTCTTTGTTTTATGGCGAGTAATATTAACAAACACAGTCCTATTCATTTGGTATTGTGAATTATCTTTGAAATATTCAATGTCAATATTACAAGATATGGATAACGAGATATGCTATTATGAAATAAATATACAGAAGCCTTAATTTTGTTTTTTGTTTTTTTTTTCTTTGTATTTTTGGTTTATTATTACTTTGTAAACGTTTGTCGTTTATAACCCTTTGGTGATCGAGTGACGTATATGCTTTCGGTACAAGGGTGAAAAACACACCGCAAGCGAAAGTACACTATACTCTTGCAAATCATATAGAATAGAACTATCAATTCCTTCCACACGTGACATTTGCAACAGACATCTCTCTCAATTAGCAAGAGGTGACCACCGGGATACTACATTGACAGGTTTCAGCGTGACAGTGCACTTGCTCACAGTTTTCATCTGGTGAGTGTACTTGTTGCAGAAACGCAATGTTCCGAAGATGAAGCAACCATCTTCAAGCTCTGGTATTAAACCTGCCAAGCACATGTGGCATCAATTCACCTTTTTTGCCTTTTGCGGAGATAAAAAGTGTGCATGACAGGAACCGCGCGCCACAGGGGTCATTGTAGTCCTCTGTTGTCTCCAGCTTGGCACTGCTATGTGAATATGATGAACCAGGTGCGTATATAAAAAGGCCGTTTGAAGCGTACGCTGTGTAAAACTAAAAAGGTGGCTGAAACACAGTTCTAAATGCGTCATCTGTACGCAAGAAAACATAGCTAGTTAGAGGGTGAATCCAGTAATTTTACTTTTAATTTAAACATTTTAAAATATTTCATTTCTCAGTTTAATAACGGCGCGCAGTGCAAATAGACTTCGCCTAGGCTGCACTTTCTTTAGTGATGACGAACTATACCATCAGAGTTCTTTTAAATGCTTTGGACAATAAAGATGTGTGAAAGAGACACGTGATATTCTATATAAAATCAAAATAACCAGTAGAATCGTACACTGTACATAGCTTTTTCTAATGTATGGACAGGTACGTCTTCATAATATTACATGTGTATATCCAAGTTGTGGCGCTATCACTTCATCTCCTATCATGTGTACATGTACATGAAGTATCAATTCATAACGATTTTATATGTCATATTTGAGGGTTATCTTAAAAGTTTTCTTAAATAAAAAGATTACCTGAGACGCAGACTGCACGTCGGGTAACTGATGGAATCATTTGGTACATGTACCTGATAAAGCATCAGGTACCACTTTTTCAAATGTTCGGTTAAGGGGGTGGCACAACTATGGTCTTTCCTCTGTAATTAATTTGTGCGTTGAATAGGTGAAACAGGTATTTTCGACTCCCTCCTAGACATCAATTAGACTGTTTACCACGTATTACACTAGTATATATACAGACTTAACTACAGGTGCAAAAAGGTCACACTTACGGAGTGACAAGAATGAAAATTCTGTCAAACTGAAACAAAACTGTCAGATCAAAAATAATTATAGAAAGAGGGCACATTATTTAGTTTTCAGCCATTGACAAAATCTATTCCAATTAACTGTTTTCCATATATTGAATACTTTTCAGCATACATATATCAGTTAAAAATTACACCTTTAATAATTAACATATACAGTGCCGCCGGAATCTCCCCTTACTTACCCTCCGGGTCGCTGCGGGTTGTACGGACGGCCTGGCTCGGTTACTATGGAAATAACATTGTCATCCATACGCTGTTTGGTTTCTGTTAACAAAAGTTCCATACCCTGCCCGTCGGGCAATTATCGTGACAAACTTTCTGCTAACAAAAGAGCCTAACCCTAGCTCGCTGAGATAAAGATCGAAGGTGAGCGTGGTCGCAATTAAGTGTTCGTCTAAGCGTTGATTTACCTTTAATGCGCGGTGGCTTCACTCTACTTTGATCACTCTACTCTGATACGGAGATTTTAAGCATAAGAACTTGCCAACAGTGATTTTTAAAAGTCGCTTTACCAAAAAGATTCGGTGATGACAGCNCGCCGGCTTTTTATGCGTGAATGGCGTTCCATATTATCTCATGGCCAGTTAGTTATATATGGTAAATTTGGAATTATTCTACGTTTGGTTTGGCAAAGAAGCAGCCGTAATTGTTCATATATCAACCAACCTATACATTTTCTTTGTATTTTTTTTTCATTAATGCATTCATGTTCTATGCGATGTAAACTAGAATGGATATTTAAGCGCATCCCTGCATCATTTTAAAATGCTACATCAACTACAAAAAAACTTACCTTCTGACCATTCTGGGGTCCACTACATATGTTTCCCATTACACCGTTCACAGCCACCAACAACAAGAACCAGAGCAAACCTGAAAGAAGCATGTTTCCTGTATAGTGAACTAGTTAATCGTCAATGGGTCTGTGTTCCGTGCAAAAGTGTTACGTAACGGAACAGCAGTTTATTTCAATAGGCCGTTTCCGGCTTAGTCCGAGGTGTATCTTATCGAATCAACTGTGAACACGTAGTAAATGGGGGCTGTCCAAGAAAAGATACATGTACAAGAACAGATATTCGTGCCCTCAATATTTTTGGGCTCTCTTCCTTACGGGTGAAGACTTATTTTTGTGTTTCATATTCGCACAACATGCTATCTAAAAATGAATATACCTACCTGCTGTATTATATTCTTGAAGTACTTGGTTTTAGAGACAATTCCCACAGGTATTTGGATCGATCTATTTACCTGGGGAGTTTCACTATATTACTATCAACTCATCCGGCTGAAATGTCTGTCACGCCTAGTAAAGCTGTTAAGGGGTAATTATCTTTAACTGATGTAGAATTAGAAATAATTCAATCGGCTTTAAAACACAGTGAATGGTCTGGCTACCACGTACACACCGGCCTACCATAGACTGATAACAAAGAAGTATAATAAAAGATTCCATTCAACAAAATATTTAACCCGTATAACGTGTAGATGCTGGCCTTCGTTTGTGCAAATGCACAGGATGCTTAATAGATACAGGTAATGTTGATTTCCAAAACAGTTTACGCCTAAAGTAAATTAAATTCTCTACTGAGCTATAGAACAGATACTCAATTTACCAATCGACCCATTTCGTCAGCTAGAATAAATGATTATTAAGACAAAATACAATCACAATTTAATATACATTGGCGCGTTTTAGTTGTATGGCCATACTTTAACCTCATAAGGCCGGTAACCGCACATGTGCTGTTCTTTCTTATTAGTCCCTAGGGCCGGTTACGGCACATATGCGGTTATAACTTTTCTTGCATGTTATGACCCCCTATTGTCACCTGGTATATAAAATATCGCTTTAAAAGCACCTGGTTGTATATTATCTGTCAGTTCAGTCATAATTGTTCCTAATTAGAGGTTGTTAATCGCCAGAAATTGAGATTTTATCGCACCCTGTTAAAATTGCTGTCAACAGGTGTATTCTAAATGACGGAGCTGTGTAGGAAGAAACGTATGGCAGGGGAGAAATTTTAAGAATTACTGGAAAACTCTGATTATGATTATGAAAAATAGGAAGTAAAGTTTATTACTTTGTACACTGTGTATTCCACATTCGTCTCAGTGCAGTTGGCATTAGGCGTTCGGCCCCGATACAGGCTGGGTGTCTGTATTCTCACCTTCCTGGGGAGGATACAGCCCAGCTGGCGCATAAAGTGCTGAAACCTAGCAAACGATTAATACATTTTACAGGCCTACCCAACTACCAGACTCGGCACCTACAGATCAAGAATAAACCGGTATATCAGACCACACTACCCGTTTTCAAGGTGTGTGTCAGATCGCATTACAGAGTATCGTACCCCATCACAAATTTTGTAAGCCTACCTGTCATCCGGGTATCGCGCCTCGTTTTCGTCAAGTAGGAGTCGTATGAATACAACAACATGGAAATCGGGAATCCTCGGCTCATTCCGCAAGCTCCATACTATTGTCGAGTGCGGAGACATCGGAGTAGTTCCGAGTGACAACATGGCGACAGACGACTCACTGAATCTCGTCCAGAAAATATTTAACCCCCGACAGAATTTGCTTCCGCTATAAAAATTAGGTCTACTTTTCTTAATGAATATATAAGTTTGCATAAACAGGGAAAATAGCAGCAGCGCATGAATCTAGATGAGATGCACTACTTTCCAACCCCGCTTCAGTTGACAAACAAAAGATTCAGACGTGGTGTAACTCGCTTAACCGCACGTCTCGCATGAATGCGTTATAACCCGCTAATGGACCCGTGGTCTAAATAAGATAGATCCCTCGTCAGCGAGGGTTATGTGACATCCTCTCGTGCTTCGCACTCGTGTATGCCACATAACCCTCGCTGACTCGGGGTCTATCTATTACTACGATCATCGCTATCACATCGCGCACCAGGCAAAATCGGTGTGGATGCTGATACTCTGTAATGCGATCTGACACACACCTTGAAAACGGGTAGTGTGGTCTGATATACCGGTTTATTCTGGATCCGTAGGTGCCGAGTCTGGTAGTTGGTTAGGCCTGTTTTACTGACACAACAGGAACTTTTCCCTGCTCCAACCCATGTATGTTGCTGCCAAAGGGATGGGGTGGGGTGGGTGTGGGGGCAGAGGGTACCATTTATGAAGGACTGGCTGCCCCAGACGGAGCCGAGCCCACGTCCACCCACTCTGGAAGTGGACATTCTGATCACAAGGCCATTCCGTCTGTAATATTGTGATATAGCCCGGTACTTATATTCTTTGCTGATAACAAGAAGGGGGGGTGAATTTTCATATTGATATACACGGTAGTTGATTTTATTGAACAGATAAATTCAAGGTGACTAAATGAGTCAATTGGTAAAAACACTACCTGGTTTATAGACAAGTACAGAGAATTCCTTTGTTAACACAATGTTTTGGGAATCATCAACAACTGTGTCTATTATTCATTTTCTTTAAACAACTCATAGACATCAGCACCAACATTATGTAATACCCGTAGATATATTGTTAAATATTGTGTTGAGAAGAACCATTTCT